ATCTAGAATTTCAAGCAAATTTTTTTTTCTTTTATCACCCAGGTAATCTGGAAAATGTTGCACAATATAGAACACTTGATATAATATATCTACGGGAACTGCAAAACCTTTCCCGACGTCAGGACCTTTACATTGCTCGGCCCAAAGTTTTACCAATAATTCCAATTTTTTGAAATGACCTCTAAACTTAGAGAATGGATGTTCGAGTTTGTTTTCTTTCTCAAGACCGGTATTCAAAATATTAATTTGATTTTTGAGATCTTTATCTTTTAAAACTTCTTTCAATAAATTATCTAGGTATTGTTCAGAGTCGTTCAGGGATTTTTCTAGCTTGTCCTTTTTAATCTTTTCTTTCATAGCTTTTGCACTAGCAGATTCTTTCTTAAGTTTTGAAGTTTTTGAAGATTTTGAGGATCTTGAAGATTTGTCGACAATTATATTTTGTGTATAATAACCTTGCGTGCCATTTAATGAAGCCGCATACCTTTCCATGAACTTTACATACTGCTGATACCCTTTACGTTTCCAAGAATTTGCATGTTTAGGATTATGAACTCTATCTTTATTTTCAGTCTTTCTTTTAGAATGCCAATGAATGGTATCATCGTAATAAACGTTTCTGGTTAATCCATAATAACCCGAGTCAATTTTGATACCTGAATTTTCGGGAAGTGATAAATGCATGTCCCCAAAATATTCTTCAATGAATTCAAATTGAAAAGGAAGAATGTTCGTTACGTCGTTAAATTCTAAACTTGATTTTGAAATAAATTCAATTGGAAATTTTTTCCTAAATTTTTCATCATTATCGAGATTTAAAGCATCAACAAGCCCATTACATTCACAAAGTCGTTTTAAAAGGTTCCAAGATTCGTCAAATCGATTTTTGATTTCCGAAGGAAGTACCTTGAGATTTAATACATCATCATACTGAAATTTGATTAAAGATGCGAACAGTCGCGCATCAACAAGGTCATAAAGGTTCTTATTCAAATCTTGAAAATTTCCGATCGACTCGAGAAGGATGTCACTGATATAAAATTTAGCACAATAATCGTAAAAAACTTTCAAGAAAAGTTGAATCCTGCTATTACTCTCAACATGTTCATCATCATCTACTGGTGGTGAGGTCCTTAAGTTTAAAGGTAGGTAATCTAGGATAATGGTGTGAAGCAAAAAGATCTTTGCTAGGTATTGAAAGTCTGGTTTATCAACATTATCGCATAAAACCCCAGTCAGAGATAATAAAATAAGCGCGATCCTTTTCCCACCATTGGACCATACTTGTAAAAATTCTTGAGAAGTTAACAAATCCTTGCAAGATGAATTCAAATTGAATTTCTTTACAGGTCCTTTAAACCAGACCGATTTTTCATCATACACTTGAAGTACCTTCTTAGCCAATTCAACTGATTTATTTAAAATCTCGGGACCCATACTTTCACTCCTTTCAAATACGAAAGCGTAAGCACGTGATTCTCTAAATTCCATTCCGGGCAAAAGTGCGACAGGTAAATCGATGTGAAGGGAATGAAACAAGAAAGCTCGAAACACGACGGTCATTTTTAATGAATTCTTTGTTGCGATTCCAAAAAGGGGCGAATCATGTTGAATTTCTTCATTTGTTACGTCAATTTCTAAATGTTCGGTTGAACCATCACCAACCAGAGTAAATAACGGTTGCCTGTTGGCTAAATATTCATTCCATTCTGGAGACCACCAATTCTTAAAGTTAACGATTGGAACTCCAGTGTTTTGAGATTTTAAATGATCAATAATAATTTCTCTGGCGATTCGTAATACTGGTTGATTATTCCATAGGGATTGATAATCATCAAAGAAAACGACATGAAAGACACATTTACGTTCTTTGAGTTTGTTTAGAAAATTTTCGACCAAAAAGGTGAGGGCCAAAAATTGACCACCACAAAAAGGTTGACTAAAATCCAGAAAATCAGATTCAGGATCATAGAGGAATTTGAAAAGTAAACTATCACCCTCTATCACGAATAATTCGCTACCTATAATTAAATCGAATGGAGTTAATTTTTACCGTTTTTTTTTTTGATTTCAAATCATTAACAATATATAGAATAATAAAATAATGATGATTACCTCCAAAATCACCGACGAGATCAATATACTTGTGACGACATTTGCAGTACCATTTATTTAACCATTGTTCATGTTCATTATCTTGTTCATTCATGATTAAATTAGAATATATATACAAATATATACATAAAGTTAAAAATTGCAAAGAGTTTCAAGTAAAAATTTGCAATGAAAAACAAGTCATTCCATTTATTCAAATTTTTTTTTTTTTTTTTTTGATATCCATATTTATAAACAATAACTATGGGCGTTCAAAATATTCAAAAAATCATTTAGGGTTAGGATGCGTGCTAATCTCGACCAAATTTACTTTTTATGTCAAATATTAAGATTTTCCCGGCAGTTTCCCACCCCCTCTTTCTTTTTTGACATTTATTCAAGATCGGAATATTCTTTGGCAAATAATTATTTCGTCAAAAAAAAAAAAAATAATAATAATAATAACGAAACTATCAATATTTTCTTTGAAACTTCTTCCAGATTAAAGAGAGCACACTTTGCAAAATTATCCTTTTGAATGAAATTTACGGCATATTGTAAAGTTCTCTAAAGTCATCATGATGATGGATGGGGTCTTCTGAGCCTGACAAAAATTATCAGCTACGTATAATTGCCTTTACAGCTTTGAAGGTTGGGAAACGGCCAAGAAATTCAAACTGATACAGTCCTGACATGAATATGCCAATATGGAGAACAGAGTCTATCAAACGAGGCTAAATCGATATCTAAATGGCGCATGGGCGTCTTTCAATTTATTATCGTGTGTAACCCGTCTTACATAGAGTCTTTCATCTATTAAAGTCATGTGATTTGAAAGGTTTATTTATAGCAATAACTTTACTTAAAATATTTCTTAATTTGCATATAAATATTTTATCACCAATAATAAATATTTTATTATCATATTCTCGTAATTCTCATTTTAACAATAATTCGATTGAACAAGCATAGTCAATAATTCTTGGTATTATTTCTTTGTATGATTGTTTATCACGTGATATTCATCGATTATATTGTTGTAAAATCCTTAAATTGCTAATGCTATTATGAATGAGAGATAATATTACCTTAGCGTTTTACCTTTAATACCATCGTTACATTTGTGTTCTATAGATTTAAATGGAATGCCCATATAGTAAAAATTGCATGAAACATCCTCCTTAAATAATAAAAAAAAAAATTTTCCATAGGTAATGGATTTTCAGGGATTTCAAAAAAAAAAAAAGAAAAATAGAAAAAAAAAAAAAAACCTTTTTTTTTATTTTAGTAAACGTATGGCAATCAGAATATTGTTTTATTTTTATTTCCGTTTATGGTAAATTTCGAATTTTATTTAATAAATAAATAAATAAAAAAGAAGAAAATTTTCTATCTCAGGATTCATTTTTCCTGCATGATTCGGCATAATTCGGCCGCAAAATGCAAAGTGAAGTAATAAATTTTAATGCGTAAATCACAAAATAATAAAATAAAAAATATTAATTTCAAAGCAAAAGAAAATATTTATTACAGTCAAAAAGATCGAGAAAAAAAAAAATAAGGTTTATGCGAATGCGAAAGTTGCGTCTTTATTTGATTTCTTTTTTCCCTCTGATAAAGGAATTCATTTATGAAGTTGCGAGGATATTGGGAACGCAAAATTTTAAAACGTTAGCAAATTAATTTGTCGCAGGAAAAAAAAAAAAAAAACACAGGCGCATAATTTTGTCAAGGTACCTTCTCAAACAATACTCAAATATTCTGAAAATAACAAAAAAAAAAAAGGGAAGAGCATCACAAATTTGAAATTGCAGATTTGTCCCTCGTGTTTGAGTTTAGTTACCTTGCAAAAGGTAAGACCGAGGAAGTGCATACGCGAATCAGCGGTATTCGTTGATAGATTCCAAAAAAGTAAATTATTTATATTACCGATCAAAGTGTAACATTACTCCAAAACGTTGGAAAATCCTTTGACCCTTGATTTAAATTATCTTTCATTATCTCTCATGATTTAACCATTTTAAATATAAAAGTTTTAAATACATAAGTACATGACAAGGGTAAAAGCGATTTTACATTATTTCCTCTAACAGATGTGAAATTAATTCTTTTATTTAATTTATGATACAAACTTCGCCATTTTGTTTTTTGAATAACGTTATTATCTAAAGATCATTTCTTTATTTATACTTTGCTTTAATATACATCATTTGTAAAAAATTCTTACTTTCTTTTTTATAATTAATTATCATATTAACATCGTGTAAAGGTGTTGACGAAAGTAACGAACCTTGGACCAAAATCTACAAAAGAATCGATTGCTTCATGAAATTATGTCTCCTAATAATGGCATTTTCACCCATCCTTATTTATCTTTGTAACAGGGTGAGCGAAAACCAACCAACAACGTTAAAAGGTAATTAATCATTAACATGACATACATAATCATGCATATGACTGGGTTTTTTATATTCTTTATAGAAAATAATCCAAAACGGAACAAAATAGAAGCAAAGTAAATGCATCCCGTAATGCATATATTTTGTTGGATTCTAATAATATACATAATTACACTCTCCAAACAATAAAATTGATGAGCTTTGTATTGCAGAAATGTACACCACTAGTAATACAAATTTATTGTACATTTTTGTTTACTATATATATTAACATATTTAATAAAAGGTCCAATAAATTCTGCGTTATAATAAAAAAAAAAAATTAAAAAAAAAAAAAATAAAAAGAAATAAAACAGAAAGCTGCTCTTTATTTTTGTTTTACGCTTTTTCTTTTTTTTACTTTTTTTTTTTTTTTTCTTTAAATAATACTATCAAAAAAAAAAAAATTTAAAATAAATTCATTGATTGAACATTTAAATTATCATAAAATTAAAAAAAATAGAGAAAATGAAACGATTGAAATCATTTATTATCGCGGGAATAGTGTGTCTCGTGGCAGTTTTATTCATAATACCAGTAGAATCTTACACAACATTTGTACATGAAGAATCAATATCATATCCTTCACCACCTCGAGTATGGAGTAGTATAGTGTATGAAGACGGAACCGCAGTTTTTCGCATAATTCGTAGAGATACCAGCGTCAAACTGCCCGATAGGACTTGCCTAATACAAAAATTAATGTTGCGTATCCTTTATCCTAACGGCACATTAACCGAATTGGACATGGAATTAAACATTCCTCCTCTGAATTATTGTATTGTCGCCGCAAAACCAGACAATTTTGATCCAATAAATATCAGTGCATTAAAACCCGGTTATTTGCTACTACGATATTATAACGCTACCGATCCGTCAAAACCCGAGACTTGGGAAGAATGGGGAATGATCATTGATTGGCAAGGACAAACTTATGAGTTCGTATTATTTAAATTTGTATCATGTATGTGACCCTTTACAAAAGAACCGCAGTTCCATTGCAAGGGGGTCCTTACATATATTTCTAAAATCTTTTTTTTTTTTTTTTTTGTCGTTATTAAAAAGTATTGTCGTCTTATTATTATTATTACCACCTTAGGCCAAAGTTTTTGGGATTATCTTTTATAGATGCAAATACCAGAACTGTGGTTCCAGGTTTAAGCGCTGTCACGGTAAACATTAACCGAGCAAAAGGATTTTTACGTTTGGCCGCGTTAAGAGAGACTAATGATTGTGAATGGCAGCAATATTCAATGTAATATATTTTCATAATTCATTTAAACTTACTTGTTTACTTTTTTTTTTTATTTATTTACTTATTTTCTTAAACCGATTTAGAGGAGAGAATAAAGAGCTCATCCAATTATCCGGAGGAGTTATCAAACTTCCAATTTTCAAAAGTGCGCAATTTGCGACAATCGCTACCGTTGATGAGGGTTACGCTATCGTATTTGCCAATTCATCCGATACTGTTAATAATGCTGACCCTTTATTACCTCGAGGTGGACTGTTCGCTCTTTCATTAGCATATGGACAAAAATCAATCAATTCCCCATCCCTCTTATATCAAGTTCCATTGGCCAACTTATTATTTACTGCGCTCAAGTGCGATATCGCGTTTGTCGGTGTCGGTCATGTTTGCACATTAACCGTACAACAAAATCTTGGTGACGCAACCAACCCAACCAAGTCTGATTTATATTATTTAAAAATTACTTTCCTGTCCTCCGGATCTGTCACGAGCTTTACATCAATATCTCGTGCATTACCAACCAATATCAATGTAAAAGTAACGGAGTGGGTAGTATCTTCTTTACCGTACGGGGGATATGTTTTAGTTTCCCACTTAAAAACTCAACCAACTGGTTTGGTAATGTATGCTTACGTCTTTGATGAAGATGAAACGAATGGAATCCCTTGGAAATTAGATGAGCCCTCCGTCACTAATGTCGCGGGAACTTACAAAATTTTACCTAATAATACGTTATACTTTGCTCAACAAGAAGTAAAGGATACTTGGTCCTTAATTTTCACCGACCTTCCAAGATTCATTGGGGACAAAGATCACGGTTATTCTAACGTACATATTGATACTACGGAACCACCAATTCAGTCAACGATATCATCATCTTTAAAACAAATTTCCATCACTTATTACGATGCTGTGGATCTTTCGGATGGTAAAGTTTCAATTTATCAAATAAATGACGGCGGACAAGAAGTTCTTAAACAATTTGTCTCTGGAACAAATCCTAAATATTGTCAAATAAGTGAAGATGGTCATGTTGTAACTATTAACATTATAGAAAGCACATTTAGCCATGGTGGCAGCACTTTTTATGTTACCATGGATAATAATTTTGTAAAGAGTAATGCATTTAAAGAACCTCTTATAGGTTTACGCGATAAAATTTGGACATTTTCAACAGGTAAATTGCCTAGGTTTTACTCTTTTTTTTTTTCATTATTATTATGTATTGATTATTTATTCATTGATTTACTTTGCATGATGAATTTATAGAGCCTAGCGAAGTAAGGTTTGCAGGTACGTGAACTACCCACAACAAATCATAAACCACCAATTACAAATTAATCTAACTCGTTTTTTATTTCGCGTCGTAGGTTCCACATCAGGAGTGTTACGTTTAACGGTCGATGGAACAACTTATTTCGATCAACTTAGTGCGGAAGGGCAGGCCCAATTCTTTAATAATCTAGTGAATGAAATCTCCACAATGTTAACAATACCTCCTTCACGTTTGAAATCCAGCGGTCGATTCCAAGCAGATATTACCATTTCACCGGAAAAACAATATTTAATATCGTTGGACATTATTCAAACAAAGGATAAAAGTGAAAAGAGTGTTGAATCAATTATTAAAGATTTAGATACAATGATCTTAAATAAAGAAGTATCACCAATTTCATTGGGCAAAACAACTCGTTATTTAGATGCTACTTATGGGTTACGAACAACGCGTAAGTTCTTAAAATTTTTAATGATTATTTCTTTCAAAAAAAAAAAAAAATATTTAAAAATAATTTTTTTTTTTTAAAATGAATAATTCTAGAAAACCTATGGAATAAATATAAAACGAAGATCGTCATGGTGTTTATTGCTTTGGGAACTTTAATTATGCTTTTCTTGTTGGCACAACGAAGAGAAAAAAAGGGTCAAAATATGGCTATCTTACAACTTGGTCTTATAATTTTCGATTTGCTCATGGATATTCTTTTTGTCAGCAACAACGCTCGAGATGTTGACTGGCTTTATATTCCAAGTGTGATCTTTTTAACGGTTCCTATCGGATTGAACACTGTTTTAGCCTTTTTAATTATAACAAATGAAAATACAAATCAAGAGTTCTTTAAATGGTTTTCTCAACATGGAAAGGTTGCATCTATATTCACTTTATTAGCTGGTGCAGATATTGAGGCTTTGACAATTCTTCAGTCAAATATGGCTGGATTCTCATTTTTTCGAGCTCCATTCTCTAATGAAGCAAAATCAAAAATATTCTGGGGTGCTTGTTTAAGCGTTTTCCTTGAAGATATTCCTCAAGTATTCATTCAGGTAAGAGAATATTTCATTATAATTTTACATGTTCGAACATAATTAATGATTTTTTTAACAAATATAAATATATGTATATATATAGGTTTTCTATCAGCGAAACACCGTAAATTACGATATTATTCCACTTCTTACGCTTATTTCATCTAGTTTAAATTTGACAATAAATATCATTGGAAGATTGTATCAAGCAATTAACCGACTTCGTAATAAAGAAGAACTTGAATTGAAAGGGAAAGATGAAGGTTTTGGTGGACTTGACCCATTTCCCAAACCCTCTGTAGGTAAAATCAATGACGATGAACATAAAATCGACATAAAAGATGATCAATTAGATGTTAAAGCAGCAAAAAATCTTGAGAAAAAGAATTCAAAATCTAGTTTTCAAGAAATGATAAATTAATATACATATATTATTTTTATTTTATTTCTTTTTCAAGTGCATTTTTTACATTTTGAGACAATAATAATATGTAATTTTAATTTTTTGTCAAAATAGTTTTTATAAAAATAATCATTAAAAAAAAAAAATTAATCAAAAATTCTTGAACGTACTGTATTATGTAATGCGCAATGTTAATTTGCATTACTATCTCCAATAACTACTATTACCATTATTATCTGCAAAATTAACTACCCTTTTCCCTTTCCTTGGTGCTAATAGAAACTTGTTATTGTGGCGGGGCTAAAGCCAACCTTATATTATCATTTGTATAGAAGATTTATTGCTTTCCTTCTGTGATTAAAAATGGCCACGAACTCGTACCAATGCATCATCGTGTAAAAAAAATTTTTTATTACGTTGTTGCGTTGAGGACTAATCTGTATCATGCGACATTCTATGCATACATGTAAAAACATAATTATGACATAATTCTGATCGTTCCCCGAGGGAACGGTTTATCTGAACTCATTCGAATTTTCGAAATCATCCGATCACTTTTGCCAAGAAATTTCTGAGACATTATGTCCCAGAAAAATGCCAAGAAAAAAATTTTATTAATATATGAAAAAATAAATACAATTCAGAACGTAACCTGCAATACAACACGTTTATGCTAATATACATGCGAAGCGCCTACGGCCGATTATTTTTTCTTGACTATCTCTTTTACACGACGTTTCTTAGTCGAAGGTTCATCACTACCTACTGCTCTATCCTTTAATAATCCTATAATCACTTTTAAAACCCTCTTTACACTCTTACACAATTCTATATCATTTTTGAGAGCGTCTTCTATTAGTGAAATTCAGTATTCAGTCCTGTTCGTACTATAGATGCCATCAGTACTGTGAAGAATGAAGTACCAGTCGGTTCCAGTACTGACTATACCATAGACGTAGTCATGGTCAGGATCGAACGCTTCATCAGCCTTTCTCTTTCTTCAGAGCATATCTAAGTTCATCTAGAAATGAGTATGAAGTTAACAATTTCAAATAATTAGCCTCTAAGAAGAACAAATAAAGTAAAAATATTACCCACATCACATACATTTCGACATTGCAATAAGTTTTAGCAGATACCTATAGTTGCTTGATTCTGTTTACCCTCGGTAATACAAATTATTTCTTTGAGTAAATCGTCTAAGATTTATTTTGATTGCATAGTTTATTTCGCCAGTTATTTTCATCTGGAGAGTGATTACCAAACCTTCGAGAAGACTCACCGCAATGTGAAGGATTGTAAAAATATACTTACAATGCATAGCCTCGTTACTATCTACAACTGGACCTATATTCCTTATCCTATGAAGGATATCGTCAATGCAGAGCTTAAATTTTGGAGCTTTTCATCGACCAGACGGGTAACTGGTTTGAACTGTAGAATGAGAGTAATATTCCCACTCGAGATTTTATAATCTTCTTGCAATACCTTCTCCAAGTTCACCTTGGAATAGCTATGACTTAAATCCAATTAACTTGACATGATGTTAGTTAGGGAGTTCGTTTAGTTAATAAGAATAAAATTATAATATTATGTTGTTTATTATTATTATTAAATGTATATTGAATATAATGTTGAAATCTGTTCTTTTTCCAATAAAATTACAATTAAAGAAAATCTATAACAGTAATGATACTATTGATAATAATAACAAGCTAACAGATATACTAATTATGTTAAATATAAAATAAATAATAATAATGATATATATAATAAAAACAATATAAACAATATATATGTCCTATTTGACAGATATAGCATATTTGGTATATATATCATATTATATTTGACAGGTTCATCAATTTCTGCAGGTTTCATTGATAAGAACACTTTTAATTTTATCCTTATACTCTTTAGCAAAGTCAGCAAGTCTTAACGCTGTTCCTATTTCCAATTTACTATTTATTAAATCTTTTACTTGACAATCTTGAAGAACTCTCAGCCCATTATTTTTTACTGACAAATAATTTTCAAGTCATCATCATCAAGTCTCAAGTTTTTCTTCTTACACAAAAATTCAATAAGTTCATTTATTTTATATTTTTTTATTTTATCCGTTAGCAAAACAGTCTCATTTTCAATAATGGTTATAAAGAAAGTAAAGGTAAATGAATCTACAATATTTAACATGGTGTTATACTTTTTATAGGTAGTTTAACTCAGATAAATTAAATAAAAAAATGTGTTACATCAGATGATACTAATGCGAAATAAAATCTAATGGGATTTTATGTTATATAAGCAAGTTAGATAATTTAAATCTTTTCACTATTACATTATTGTACGTAATTTTTAATGAAAAATATATTGATACTTTATTATAAAAAATATATTACTGGAATAACTGATACATAAAAAATTGTGAATATATCACTTTTATATGATAGGTTCAATATAAAAATTTACAACTAATCCTCTTATACAAGAATATCATAAACACATATGCTAGAATTGCTTTTGAAATATTTAGAAATCAAAGCTGATGGTTGCATAACTCTGTATCTTACAGGTTTAAGATGAAATACATAAAAAAAATGAAATATTACTAAATTAAGATGATAATTGCTATTAAATCTGAGCATAAAGCATATTAATTATTAATCCATTAGAAATAATAATTGTTTGCTTAACATCATTATGTGAAATTCTACTGAAACTACTAGTAAGAATAATAAGATACCTAAGAGTAATAACAAATATATTATTTTTCTAATACAAAAATCTATAGTAAGTATTTTACTTTATAATCTATCTCTTTTTGCATATATACATCTTATTTTATATTATTTTTTCTGAAAAATTTTTGCAGAAAATTGGCTGAATTTTATATATTCTTACATAATTTATATCCTTTTTTCTCATTAAATTTGAAAAAGATTAGTCTTATTGGTTTAATTATTCTCCTAAAAAATCTATTTTGAAAAAGAATGAAATCTTTATATCTTTTCAAATATAGATTTATCAGAAAGATATATAGTTAGTTTTATGCTTAGTAATCTCAAAATTGTAAGTTTCCTAATTTTTACAGCATATTCTTTTATTGATATTATTTACTTTTACAATAAATCTTGTATTGCATGTAGACTTTCTTTTATATTTTTCTTATATTTGTTTAGCAATAAAAACAAAGGTTAATATATTTTTTTTGAATATATATTGTCACTAGGTTCATTTTCATTTATCTTAACATCTAAGTTGAAAGATTCTGACAGCTAATTCTACATATTAGAGTTTTAACCTTAGGATTTTCTCTAAGTCTTACAGGTATCCGTTATACTTGAATCAACTTAGCAATTTATCACATCTTAGAATTTAAGATATATTAGTCAAACTCATAATGACAAACTTAATAGTAAATTAATATAAAGTATTACAACTAGTAGTCAAAACTGGTAATCCTTTAATCTATACAGATTATAACCATTTGACAAATTTCTTAACTAAATTAAAATCCATTTTAACTTCAATATAATCAGATATATCTGTACAGATCAATAAATATTTAGATTTAAAAACTTATTAGTTTAAAAAAAAATATTAAATTTTTATGCATTCATAAAAAAGTAGTTTATTAAATTGTACTAAAATAAAATTTTTTAAATTTAAATGGAGTTTGATCAAAAAATTCATTTGTAAAATTTTCTAAAAAAAAAATACAATACTATAAATAATTCAATATTTTATATTTGAAATTTATTTTTCAAGAAAGATAGACCCAATCAAACTCTAATTATATTTTAAAAATAGAAGATGTTTAAATGTTGAAGGTAAAGACTAGTATATCAAACTATCATAATATTTTTAGCATCACTAAACAGTCTTTTGCTTAGTGTGAAAGTTGCTGAAATTGCTAAGTATTTTCGTATTATCTTTGATAAAACTGAAAATCAATTTTTATTTTTGCATCACTAATTAAAAAGACACTAAAAAAAGCTAATTTCTTTAATCTTTAGATATTCTGTGATTTCGTCACTATATTCACATTTCCTGCTAAATATGCTTGCTAGCAATAAATTTGTCAGGTGTTCTTCATGATATTCCCTTTCCTGCTTACCATATTTTGGTTGTAATTTATTATAAATTAATTTCAATTTAGAATTATAAAAATCTTATAGTTAGCAATATAGTGATATAGGTAAAAAAAATAGCTGTAAAATTTTTACAGATATATGTGAAAATAAAATAAAATTTTATAGAAACTTATATTATATGATGTATTCCCTTTTCTTTCTTAGAAGCATATCATATATTTCGCTTACTTTACATTATGTTATTACTTAGATAATCTCAATGAAAATAATAATATTTCACTTACACTGGTCAAAATCAAAAAATCAGATATGCGAAAATCTGCCTAAATTCAGCCTAAATTCAGCAAATTATCAAAAAATTGGCCTAGCCAATTGGTATATATTAGAAATTAGCCAAGAATCAGCTGAAATTCAACCTATCTTATTTATAGCTGATTAGCATACTTATTGCTGATTTACATACATCAAAAATTGGCTAAAATTCGATTTATCTTATTTATAGCTAATTGATATCTGATTTATATCTGATTGATATACATCAAAAATTGACTAAAATTTGATTCATTTTATTTATAGCTGATTGATATCTGATTTACATCTGATTAATATATATCAAAAATAGACTAAAATATTTTAAAATAAAATAAAATTCAGAAGGAAATAAATAATGCTAAAAACATTCAATTTATTTTTATAAATGGTATTTTCTATTAATTAGATTAATAGCCAAATATTCTTTTGCATTTTGTTAGGTTAAAATTTAATAATTAATTAGTATAAATTAATCTAAAATATGATGAACTGGTATTATACAATTATGGCTTTCTAGATAAAATTCAGTATCTCATAATTTGACATTACATGTTTCTTCTTTGCTAAATAATATCACATATTTGAAAGTCTACATGCAATACAAGATTTATTGTA